GAAGAGCTGTGTGTGTCTATCTTCCCAGGCACGTCGAGATGAGCAGAGTGGGGGCAGAGAAGAACTGCTCTCCAGAATGACCATAGCACGGCAGAGGGGCAGAGGCGCACGAGGGGCGCCCTGCTGCTTCCAATCAACAGAGACTGAGGAGGCCTCCCCAGCCGCCACCTCCCGCTCCAGGGAGGACAGCAGCCAAGAGAGCATCCTTTGTCTGGCACACACTCGAGGAACCCACACAGCGCCAGAGTGCTCCACAGGGCCCCAGGCCACCTTCCCAAGCACAGCAGGGGCCCAGGCTCTGCAGATTTCCTTACCAGTGGGCAGAACAGACTGCAGGCCTCACCAGAGCCTCTGCAGGTGGGTGTGCAATCTTCAGTCCTGCCCAGGACACAGCCACAAGGACGCTGACACTAAAACACAGGCTCTTGGAGAGGCAGGAAGTGCACTTCGGGCTCAGGGCTGGGGTGCACCCGACAGCACCCGTCAGGGGGCGTCCTCCCAGCAGATGCTTCTCAAAAACACCTGCTTCCTTCTTCTTACTTCCAGATCCATCCCCGATCATTGTAAGGTCCAAGAAAAACTCTATTTTATGAGGAATAAGCGCAGTGGTGCCCTGGACGAGTAAAGTGTCTCTCTGACCCACTCAAATCATCTCTCAAACACACACTGTTCTAATTCTGCAGCTCAGTCACAGCCCGTCTGAATCCAGACATCTCTCGGGCTGTTCAGATGACAGCTACTCCAGAAGAATCTGGTTCCTGCCGCGTTCCACACATCGTGACAGCCATAATTCCAAGTTCAGGATTCCAAGTTCACTCGTCTGCCCTGCAAGGTGAGTCTTACCACCATGCCTCCTGACCTACCGCAAAACCTGTGCTCCACCACCCAACCGTGTGGGTGTCTCAAAGTCTTGACTTTGAAAGAATATTAAACTTTTTGTCCCCCTAAACCTCCAAGTCAGGTTTTGTCACTCTTAAATACACTCAAAATTTTAACTGAAGTCTAACATAACATTCAGAAATGTGTACACAACATACATATTAAAATAAAACAAACAGGAAGCTGAAGATTCCCTTTGGTCCCTTCTCAGTCACACCCCCTTCCTCTCTCTAAGAGTGCTCACTGTTCTGCACAGTTAGCTTTGTCTGCATTTACACATTATCTAAATGGGATTTACATAAGGTAGTCATGGTGGTTCAGCGGTAGAATTCTCGAGCGGGAGATCTAAGTTCAAGTCCCAGGCAATGCAACTCATGCACACTCACCAAATGGCTGTTACCAGGTTCAGTGGAGCTTCCAGATGGACCAGGAAGAAAGGCCTGGTGATCTAAACGTCCAATGCTGAAAGCCCTAAGAATCTACACCCAGTGATGGGGATGGCACAGGTGTGTAGGCATTTGGTTACAGTGCATGAGATTGCTGGAAGTTGGGGGCCAACTCAATGGCAACTAATGACGTATGAGAGCTCTGGCGGCCTGGCTGTGCCATCAACTCAAAGGCAGGCAGTTCAAGCCCACCCACCGCTCAGAGGGAGAAAGATGTACAACCTCCTCCCATTAGACTCAGAGCCTCTGAAAGTCCACTGAAGGGTCAGTTATGATTCGAGGGCAAATAACAAAACTTGCACAGGGCACCCTACATTCAGCATTACATTTGTGCTCCTTGTCTTGAGCACAGCTGAAGACTGATCCTTCTTCTCACTGCAATATTGTATTTCGTCCTGTAAATTTAGCAGAATCTGTGTATCCATCGAAGGGCTGATGCCTCAACAGCGCTGCCCTGACCATTCTGTTGAGTGTCACTGAGTCTGTTGCAGGTCACAGCGACCCTGCCCACTCCTGTGCCCCACACACAATCTCTGCTGTGCACAAAGCCCACTGCTGTAGCCACTGTGTGAGGGCACCCCATTGCTGAAGTCACTGTGAAGTCATCTTGTTGGGGATCTTCCTCTCCTTTGCTGACCATCTTTCCAATGATGCCCTTTTCCAAGGAAGAGTCTCGCCTAGGTACATACACAAAGTATGAAAGAGGAAGCTCTGTCATCTGTCTCCACGGAACACTTTGGCTGCACTTTCTTTTTCTCCTTCTGTACCATCGAGTCACATCTGACTGGCACAGGAGGAGATTGCCCCTCCTTCTGAACCAGTAGAGTATCTGGTGGATTCGAACTGTGTACCTTTGGGATTGCAGCCCAAATTCTTGCCACTAGGCAAGAAGAGCTCCATTGGGCTGAATGAACCTTGGCATATCATAGGCTTTTCAGCACTTTGCTCCAGCACCACAACTCAAAAGCATCAGTTCTTCTCCTGTCATCTTTATTCACTATCCAGCTCTCTGATGTGTAGTTAAGTGATGAAAAAAGATCATGGCCTGAGTCAGGCAAACCTTAGTCTTCGAACTGCTATCATTGCTCTTCGGCAATTTCAAATATACAAGTACTATTCATGCCCTGCCTTGTCTTGAAATAAGAAGCCAAATAGTGGCCTGGTGGATAAGGAGTTCTGCTGCCAATCCAAAGGCAGACAGTTCCAATCTACCAGCTACTTTTCAGGAGAAAGATGAGCATAAGACAAAGAGACTCTGAAAAAAAACTTGCTACCGTGTCAGCTTTGAGTTGGTTGCAAGTCAATGACATATAACAATATACAATGTAAGACAGAAAACTCTAAGAGCTAGTGGAAAGGATGAAGTGAACTTTTTAAACATTGGTCCACAAATGTTATTTTCACATGAAGACAGGCTGTTATCAGGTGCCTGTGAGTTAATCTCAACACATGGTAACCCCACATGATAGAGCATAAGTGCCCTCATGGGTTTTCTTGGAGCTCTGGTGGCTTACTGGTAAGAAACTGCCCTGTAATCCCAAAGGCACACAGTTCGAATCTACCAGTTGCTCCACGGGACATGGAAGGCCAATCTCCTATCCGATAAACTGCTTCTGAAAACCCACCAGAAGGTCAGTTACAGTTCGGTTCCAACTCAATGGTAGACAATCATTACAGTCACAGGCCTTTCTCCCATGGAGCAGTTGTGTAGCTTTGATCTGTCGACTTTTCAGTCAGCAGCCTCTCTTTTAGCTACTGTACTACCAGAGCCTCTTAGGAGCAAGATAAAGATGGAAACCAGCCACACAACCCCACGGTCACAGGATAAAAGTCCTAACAACTTACCAGTGAGCCTATTTTTGGTTCTGAGATTTTTTTAAATGGCAACTCTTCATCCTAAAGATATTAAAAAGGCCAAGTTTCCAACTTCTTTTCAGCAATTTTTTTTTTTTTAGTCCCTTGAAACTAACAGTAATTCTATAAGGCCACTGAGGCAGTCTGGATACATAAGTCTTAAAAGGTCTCACTAAACGCAAGCAATCAGAGGACACGCTGTGCTGGGAACATCTGTCAAGGGCCTCTGGAAAGTTACAGAACCTCAGATCAGCTTCAAGACTCACATGTGCCTGATCCAAGCCATGGCATTTTTAATTGCTTCCTATGCATCTGAAATTTGGACAACGAAGAATGACAGAACTGAGGCCTTTGAATCACAGTGTTGACAAAATAATATTGAAAATACCAGGGACAGCTAACCAAGACAAAGCAGGCAACCAAGGTCACCAAGTTCTCCAAGGAACTCGGCTTCAGTCACGTTAGCCTGAGCACCCACGAAGGCAGACAGAAGGCCCCACGCACTGGCTTTGGTCGGAACAAAATCTCTATCAAGGACCGCAGCATGCTGGGCTTTCTGGTATGTAACTGCCTGGCAAACCTCCAAGGAATGCCATTGTCAAATGTGCCCCTCAGGAGGCAACTTCCTCAACTGAGTGGTTAACTGAAAGCCAATTAAACATTAGGGAATGCCTATCAAAAATGCTGACTTTGATGCTGGAATATCAATCTTCTTTCTTTTTGACAGTAATTGCATAATTGGGCCAGTTATCTGTTAAGCAAACTCCCACTTCACAGTAATAAAATTATGTCAGCAGGCAGCTCATCTGCAGTAATGTCAAGGCGCTCGGGCAGATAGAAAAATGACAAAGATGAGGCTCTTCCCAGGTACAGAAGCTAGATGGGGCTGACCAGGGAGCCGGAGAGAAACGAAGAAAGTCCTTTCACATCCAGCTTCGCAGCACCTGGGACGGTACGTGGCAAAAAGCAGAGGACGTGCATTCAATATTTGTCTAAATGAATTTGCTATTTACCTTTCATTTTTTTTTCCTATTTGTGTACCAACAGGTGAACATCACACAGCCAAATATTTAGACAAATATTATCTTCTCAAATATTATCTCTTGGTATGATTTCATTTACAAAAGATTTACCAAAAAAAAAAAAGAATCCACTTGACCAGATCACTGTGAAATAAAATCATTTTAATATGGAAGTTTTCCCTTCTATTAATACAAGCACTGATTTCGCCTACATATGCATATCAATTTAGCTTGAGTTGCTATGAATGTCCTTCTTTTTCCCACATGGCTCAATCTTCCACAGAAGATGGTGTAGCTTAGCTATTTATTTTTAACGAGCACTAAATACCTTCTTGTCCTCAAAGAGTATTATCAACTTTCACATTTTCAAAGGGTCCTATGAAGCAGCTCCATGGGGTGGTTTTTCACTGCAATCTCTCTTTTTTTGGAAAATGGCAAAACAGCGTTGGATCTCCTGACGTCCATGGGTTGCCTGCATTCACATCAGAGCTCGGCTGGGTAAGTGGCAAAAACAGAATAATAAGAAGGTCTAACTCCAAACACAGCTGGGGGAGGCAGTTTCATTTCTGGAGAGGCGAGTGCATCGTAAAAACCTTCCTAATGGTGAGATCTGTCCCCGTATTCTTTTGATTCCTAACGAGGGGAATAAAGGGAATATGAATCCTGGGGCAATCCTGCTGTATGAGTCCTCGCGTTGATGGCATTCCGGTCGGTGTCTCCAGTCGGAGGTGATTTACTAGCTCCAGAACCGAAAGCACGAAGATGTCTGCTTTCATAATCGGAGCCGGTGATAGCTTTCTCATTTCCTGGCAAACGGATCAGCCCACACTTTTAACCCTGTGGAAAGAGACATGAATAAAAAAACAGGATCCATCTGTAAACTCCCTACCACCTCCGACAAACAAAATGCCGCTGGAATTGAGTTGTGCAATTTGCATGTCAACTGAGCGGCCAGACCCGGACCTGAACAGCTGGGGGCAGGCATGACAGCCTCAGGGGACTCTAAATGGCTTAGAAATCACCCCACAACCAGAACATAGATATCTGGTCTAGCTTGGGGTTATTTTGTTGTTGGGTTGGTTTTTGGGTTGTTTTTTTTTTCCTTTTAAATCCAACAGAGAAGAATCATTTTGATAAACAAACTGGAAATCTTGACTTCTCAACCAGTAGGGATCATGCTAACCCAACTAACCGCTTAGCCACACAGGGAGTATCTGAGCTTTTGTACAAAGCTGAGCCCTCCACGAATTAAAGAGCTCACTTGTAAACAGTATTTTCCCACGAGGGTAGTGTTTTAACAGGTACTCTGTGAGTGAGTCTGCGAAATAGCAATTCATACTTCATATTTAATTGCACACTTGTTCCATTTTTATGCCCACTTATCAAATGCAAAAGAGAAATGTGGCAAAGCCTGGAGTGGTTCTGGAATGAAATATTGACACGAAGTCTTGCGGTGGCACCTACAAAGTGCCAACTGCTGTGAACTAAACAGTCACCTCAGAATCGGAGCTGGGGGGTAAGTGCCCTCATGCCCTACAGCAAAGCCAACTCATACACCCACACCCACACAACAGTACAAACGGGACTGTGTTTGAGTTTCTTTCTTTTTCATTTACCTGGGGGCTGCACATCCTCTTGAACAATACCAGCTCGATTTATGGCTTGTTCTTTCTCTGGGAAAACAAAAACAAAAATAAACCACACAATAGAAAAAGGATTCTTTAGAAAAAAAGGAGAAAAAGAAATATTCTGCATGGGACAAGGAGAAAACAACATTTACAAGCGCTTTTAAATTCTGAGATGGCAGAGTGTAAAAGTTTTTAGGCCCTGGAATGCACCCTGTAAGGCAGCCCTGGATATTCTCAATTCAGTAAAGCCAGTCACACTTCAAAAGAAAAGCTTCCCAAACAGCATCTTTTCCCTGTGATCTCAGCAATTTGGAAAGGCAACAAAACAACGAAAAGAGAACAGTTTTGAGGGAACTGGTGGGCGTGATATTATGAAGGGGAAAGCCGCTGAACTGAAGGAACAAGTACAGTTAACAAGAAAAAGATGAGGCTGATACATCTCAAACACACTCCGCACAAGAGGGGAACTCAGAGCTAAATACGCTATGTTTTTGATAGGAAATAGAGCAGAAAATTAATCTCTGGGTGGGTGGCTTTGGTTCGGATAATTGAAGCTTCCCTAATTGACTGCAGGTGATGTGCCAATTAGTAAGCGTGTTTCAGCTACAGTGGCTCAGCCTGGCTCTTTGGAGATGCCCAACACACGAGGGCAAGAGAAATTGGGCATTTTATGTCTGTGGGCTTCATGCACCCTGACGCATTCTTCTAAGTGGTTTAGAATCGGCTCAAGGTCTGCGAAAACAAAGACTTGTTATTTTAAGGATCTTGACAAACAAATGGCACCTTTTCAGGAGTAAGTTTTGGAGCCCAAGGCTAGTTCCTCCTAAATAACAGTAATTAAATGTTGTAATCAGACCTCTATTTTAATCTGGCTGACAGTGTTTCTTTAAATCCACATTTAGCTCTTATTTAATATTAGGCCCCTTTCTTTCTTCCTTCTACCCTACGGATTCTCATAAAGTTGCACAACTATAAAAGGCAGGGTTCTGCCAAATCAAATATGCATTGAACTTGCTTCCCTTGTGATGTGACAGAAAGTCAATCCTAAGTGACCTACCTGATAGTTTTATCAATGCTAAGTTTTGCCCTGGCAAATAAAATACCGGGCCAAGGGGATTATGTGAATCTTGATCTTCAATTCTGAGAGGGCGGGAGAGAAAAGATTGTGGGATGATGCCAATTGGACCGCACAGCCTGATGATGGTTTCACCGGGCACCTCTGAATAGAGGAGGAGGAAAGGCAGCTGTGATCCTCTGGACCACGAGTTCTGCCCTCTGGAACGGATAATGGGGAGACTCTCAGAGGTCAAATGCTCTGAAATAATACAACAAAAAAGTCTTTTCCATTCCTAAGACTTTAAATTCCTAGAGGATGGAGCCCTATATTCTGTTTACACTGCACTTTCAAAGCATGGATGTGTCTCCAATTCGCTCTTAGAAAATGTCAAATACTAAAAGAACCACGCAGCCATCCGTCTTGCCAGAAATGGAAAGGGATCCAAGTTTCCAGACCTAAAAGGTCAAAGGTTCATTTACTTGTAACACAGACGAGGAGAGAGACATGTTTTAAAACAAATGTCAGAAACTCAAAGACTTAAGCAAATCAGACATCATCACGTATGTAACAGAGCAGGTTCTAAGAGGTAGAGTCCTCAAAATCAAAGAAGCTGGCCCACTGATGAGCATGGGAGGTGGGTGACTTTGGTAGTCAGGACAGAGTGCCTAGCTGTGTCATAAACTCTAAAGTGAAAGGCAGGAAACCCCTAACTTCACACTTCCTTGGTACTTGCTAATGAGGCTGGAGATGGAAGATTTATTTTAAATAGGCCATAATCTCTTTATAATCCTTGTCCTAATGCAACCACCTCTGTCATCTGGCTTGGCCAAGCAATTTAAACCGCTTTGCTGAACCAGTTCCTACCAAGTGATAACTGGGTATTAGCACCCCGCCCCCCCCACTCCCTAATCCATTAATGTTATATAAATACTCGAAGACTGGCACAGTCTTATATAAACGCTCAGCCTGACACAAAGAACAGCATTTTATTTGTCAAGGTGGAATATGCTAAAAGGGAAACGGGCACCGGGCCCCCGGGCCTTTGCCAGCACATTGTGATGAGGCGGAGAGTGGGTTTCTGGTCCTCCTCGGGCACCGGACCAAGGGCACGGGGCTATCGGGCACAGGAAAGGGCACCCACAGAAGCCAGGGGCTTAACTGTGCAGACAAATCCACATCAGCTAATTACCAACTTCAGCAGTGAGAGTAGGTTTCTACCAGGAGTGAAATGATTAAAGGGCAGAGGGGCAGAGCGGGGCTTGGAGTTTTGCAAAGCTGGGTTAGAATTCCCCACTTTGGTGTCTCAGCAAGGCCGACTCTGCCCCCTGGTGCTAAGGCAGGGGTTTGATTTGTAGTTTTAATTGAGGATCTGCAACTCTGGTCAAAGGGTCAAAGTCTATTATTAAAACAGGTAAAGCATACACACAGGATGAGTTTTGCATGATAATAGAGAAATCCACTAATAATGTTTAAGTCCTTGGAAATGAAAAAGTATCTTTATATCCAATGTCCATATTGTGAGATGCATCAACTGCGTGAACTGCTGTTTTACTGAACATTTACAATAACTCAATAGCCATATTGTTGTTGTTGTCTTTATGTACCATCAAGCTGACCATGACTCATGGCAACCTCTTCATAAACCTCTCCAAATTACTGAGGAGCAATGATGTCAATTTGAGGACTAAGGGGCAACTGATTCAGGTCATGGTCCTTTCAAACATTTGCTATGTATCTGAGAGCTGGACAACAAATAAGGATGAAAGAACTAATGCCTTCGAGTTGTGATGTTAGAGAAGAGTATTGAATGGACAAAAGAACAAACAAGTGTGTCTTGGAAAAGGTGCAGCCAGAATGCTTCTTGGAGGCAAAGATGAGAAAGCTTCATCTCACACACTTCGGGCATGTTGGCAGGAGAGGTTATTTGTTGGAAAGGGGTGGTAAAAGGAGGAAGAACCTAAAACCAGATGCATTGACAGAGTGACTGCTGCAAGGAGCCCTAGTGTGTCAGAGAAAGTGAGGATGGCCCAGGATAGGAGAGGGTTCAGATCTGTTGTTCACAGCGTCACCATGGGTCATAGTTGACCCAAGGACACTGACAACAACAACACAGCAACCCTACAAACAGCAGATGTGAAGTCTGCCTTATCCTGTACCATCCTCAATCCTTGTCATACCTGAGGCCACAGATACAGTCACTGCGCCAATCCACCCTGCCGAACATTGACACTGCAACCTTCCCAAACACTAGCCTGGAATATGTGAGACAAAGTTTCACCATCCTTGCTTCTTTTATTTTGGTTAACAAATGATCCTTTATTGAAATATTTTCATCTGTCATTCCTTAGCTAGCTGGGCATTCCACAGCACCACTGGTGATGTCTTCTATGAAGTCATGAGGGTGGTGGCCACCAACATTGCAGCCCACAGATTGGGCAGTTAATTCCCAGGATCTCTTTAATAGTTCCAGAGAGTTCTCTGGCTAAAGACCGGCGATGCATCTGCCGAGCAATGCCAACAATCTCATCAAAAGTGCTATTTCCACTGTGCTTAATATTTTTCTGCTTCTTTCTATCTCTGGGTGGTTCCTTTAGGGCTTTGATGATCAGGGCAGAGGCAGAAGGCACCACTTCAATCTGGGCCTGTCTGTTCTGAATGGTCAGTTTCACTGTAATCCTTAGTCCCTTTCAGTCACCGGTGGCCTTGGAAATGTCATCACCAACCTTTTTTGGAGACAGACCCAGAGGGTCGATCCTGGGGCCAGAGCGGACGTGGCACCAACTTCCACCGGTACACCTCAGGTACACGACTTTAATCTCACTGAGGTCGAACTTGGGCGGCATGGCAGAGGTGGCTGGTGTTGGATGAACCCAGATGTGGGACGACAGAATAAAGTTGTACCGAGGCCTCCTCCAAACCGAAATCCACCATCCCTGCTTCTAAGGAGCATCCTTTTTCTAAAGAGAAACTGCATTTTCTCTAAGACATACCTGTTTGTTCTTCTGGCAGTTCAGGGCATATTCGGTTCTCTTCTCAAACACGGCAGCTCAAAGGCGTCTACTGTTTTCTATCATCCTTAGTTACTGTTCAACTTTCAGGTGCATAGAAAGTAGTTGATCCATGGCTTGGATCAACTGAGATTTAAATTGCTCTTCGGCACTTTGGAGAGGTCCCTGGTACCAGCTTTTCCCAATGTAAAAACCGGGATGTAACAACTGGGAATTCTTGACTGCTCGTACCAATGGTGTTGACTGTAGATCCAAGTATGATGAAATCATTGACAATGTCAATCACTTCCCCATCTATCATGATAGTTCCTATTGGCCCAGTGGTGAAGGTTTTTGTTTTCTTGATGTTAGGATATAATCCATATTGAAGGCTATATAGTCTCTGATTTTCTGCATCAAGGGCTTCAAGTCCTCTATCATCTCCGCAAGCAAGGCTGCGTCATCGGCATAATCCAGGTTGTTGATGAGTCTTTCTCCTATCCTGTTATCACATTCTTCATCAAAAAATCTGCTTCTCAGCATACGGACTGAATGATCTTCTCCGCATACGGACTGAAAAGGTATGGAGAAAGGATACAGCCCTGATACATAACTTTCTTATCTTAAACCATGCAGTGTTCCCTTAGTCTGTTCAGACAATAGGCTTTTAGGTTAGGTACAGGCTTCGTATGAGCACAATTAAGTGTTCTGTGATGCCCATTCTTCTCAGTGCTGGCCATAATTTGTTATGATTCACAATCAAATGCCTCGTGTGGTCAATAAAGCACAAACAGACATCCTTCTGGTATTCTCTACGCTTGGCCGAGGTCATCTGACATCAGCAATAATATCCCTGGTGCCACACCTCTTCTAGCCTGCATTTCTGGCAGGTCTCTGTCAATGTTCTAACCATTTTTAAATAATCTTCAGCAATATTTTGCTTACATGTGATATTACTGCTACTGTCTCATAATTCCCACATTCTGTTGGATTATCTTTTA